AGAGAGAGTGAGACAGACCGACAGAGACACAGAGAGGTCACACGACGGGCGCCACAAGGCGCGGAATCTGTGTCAAGAGAGATAACCTCTATTTTGACAAGGTCAAGACGTCCCACTTCCCTACTACACCTCTACAAATCTAATCCATTACAACACACGACAGGATGACAAAACCGGAACGACGATCAGACAAAAGAAAGAGGAGTAGCTTACGATTAATTAACTATTTTAGGACGCAGGGGACACAAACGCCTAGCCAGCAGCATACCAAAGGCAATGTTGTGGCACAATTCGAACCACCATACACAAATCAGAAACACAAATTTGCATTATAATTTCATAGTATTATTAGTATGCATGGTGTTTCCTGCTTTTTCAAAGTTTGAGGTAAAAGTAAAATTAGTTTTTAGTAAAAGTTTTACAGCACTCGCAACACAATAAGGTCGTAGTAATACGTGCCGAAGATTAGAGGTGTTACAAGAAAGTAACAAACATTAAAAAAGGAGGAATCAGACTCTGTTTAGTGTATGGATCGTTCATTTCTTCTCTGTTTGGTCTATTTTATGGAAATAGTTTCAAGCAGAGCGGAGTTGTAGGGAAATTTGTGGTAGAGTTAACAGAATCGAAACATCTGTATTGTTATTAAGTCGTTGTGCTTCTTTTTTTAAAAGTAGGCCTACCCCAAAAACAGCGCGTCTTTAAGCGAGCAAAATCCGTTCTCAATGAGTTAATAAGAACCGTTATATAATATACTATTGTCGGTGCCAATACATACTGACAAACTCCGATAATATCTACATTTTTGTACAGGTAACGAAACGAAAAAAGTGGGCTTATTTTTTCTGTCGTAGATGTTTCGGTTTGTTGTTAGGTTTTGTTTTATGTAGTCATTTCGATTCGTGTAACATACATCTTCAGGTGTCCGATTAGCGGAGACAAAGACAGGAATATTTTTCTTTGGTTGTTGTTGTTGTTGTTAGGTCCGCTGAACCATTTTTTAAAAAAAATTTGTCAGTGAGGTGGGAGCATTCATCCGCTCATACTTTCATTTTCTCTCTCACTCTCTCTCTCTCTCTCTCTCTCACTCTCTCTCTCTCTCTCTCTCTCTCTCTCTCCCTCTCTCTCTCTCTCTCCCTCTCTCTCTCCCTCTCTCCCTCTCTCTCTCCCTCTCTTTCTCTCTCTCCCTCTCTCTCTCTCTCTCTCACACATACACACACACACACACACACACACACACACACACACACACACACACACACACACCACACACACTCATGGGTGGGAGATATGAGAGAGAGAGAGAGAGAGCGAGAGTGAAAGAGAAAGAGAGAGAGAGAGAGATGTACCATAAAAATTCACCAAAAAAAGAATACAGCCAATTCTCAGCAATTCAGTTCCTTCTTTATTGAAGCAGATATTTAATTGTTAATAATATAAAATATATATGCTCAAAGAATTAAGTGCAAGTCAACATACATTTTAAAAAAATTATCTTCAAGGCATATTTAGTGACATTCAATGTAAATGTATTGGTGTCAATACAAATACATGTACATTTATTGCAGTAGTAACATTCATCATAAATCGGGCCAGAGGCATTAGAAAAAATTCAGAGAAGTCCTTAGACTATGAATCAACAAAACAGATTTTGGAACACAAAAAGCCCCCTTAAAAAAGCCCTTTTTTTAAAAGTTTGTTCTTAAATCAGAAAAGAAGCTGTTAACAAGAAGTGCGTACTCCTTTGACCTGCAATGATTTAAGAACATTTGTGTAAATATGTGTGTATGCTGGAATGTGTGTGTGTGTGTGTGTTTGTGTGTGTGTATGCTAGAATGTGGGTGCGTGCTTGTGTGTGTGTATGTAAGTGTGTGTGTGTGTATGTATGTGAGTGTGTGTGTGCGAGTGCGAGTGTGTATGTATGTATGTGTATGTGTTTGTACGCATGTTTGAGTAAGAGGGTGTGTATTTAATATTGTTCATAAATTTGTGAGTGTGTGTTTCTGCATGTGTAATTGTGAGGTAGAATACAACAACAAATGCAAAAGCCTGTTAGTATGTTTTGATTTTCTGCCATTGTAAATTGAATTTATCAAAAATGTACTAAAAGAAGTTTCCCATACTTTTTTTTTATTATATTCATCTTAAAAGATCAGATCAACCTTTTATAAATATAATGAGTTCTGAAATTAGTTTAAATACTACTTGAAAGAGAAATTGCACTTTTGATTTAGCGATGATCAGCTACATTTAGCAAGACCTTATTAAGCAAAAATTCATATCAAACTCTTGCAAAACTAATATAGAAACATCATTTATTTAGTAACTTCATAGACAAGCTAGAAGTTTCTGCACACATCTATGAAACAAATCAAACAAACAAAAGTTGTTTTCAGGGTGATACTGATTCAAAATATAAAAATCAAATATCTCATATCAAGTACAAAATGATATGAGTATAAGTGACTTCCATCATTATAATCAGGCTCTAAAGCGTATATAACAGGTGTTTTTAAGTGCAATAAGCCTTTTAACCACTTCATGACTTATGGTTTTTCAAACTTTTACAGCACCCAATTTTCGCTAACCAGAACATTCAAAGCTATTGTAGTGCAGTTATAAAATCACGTACAGTGTACATAGTGAGGTCCAGGCGATAGCCGTAATCAGCTGATTTTAGGACGTACACTGTACGGGAGGTCGGCATCTTGGCACACAAAGTTGGACGTATGGTGTAATGGAGTTGTCACAAAGGGGTTAAATCAATTTCTTCACAGACGTTCCTAAATATATAAACATCACAGGAACTCAATTTATCCTTTTAGAGCATAAACTCATATGTAAAAACAAATCCAAATTATTTACATATACATGTCAAAATCAGTTATGTCTGGATTATCACAGTTCCTCATTTGGAAGTTTAAAAAAATACAAAAATGATCACAGGATGCCAATAATCTCACAAAAATGACAAAAACTTGAAAATGTAGGCCTACCTTATAGAAAATGCACAAGGCATTGTCCCGTAATAGCAAAAACATATTATACGTAGAGCAGTAAAAATAAGCATGTAAAATTTTGTTTGCTTTAATTCACGGCTTGATTTTAAATAAAATTGGACGGAATGATATAAAAATCCTGCAACAAACAGCATTTAATTCCACTTTGTATAAAATTTCTCAATAAAAAATTCAACATGGGCTCAACAAGTGGTAAAAGATCTGGACGAATATAATACAGTTAAAAAGTTCAACATCACCTGCCACAAAGCATTCTCGAAATTCTATTGTTCTCAACTTAGACTTTCCTTTTCGCCAATTCTACATTCTTTTATACAACTTGACTATATTTTGACTTACGCCACATTTTTCAATTTCTGTATAATAAGAATTATAGAACCCTTTTCCTGCTGGTCAAGGAAAAGGGAAAGAGAGACAAAAAAGAAAACTAAAGCCTAAAGAAGGTTTTTGTGGGCAGAAAAGAAACACTGTCCATTAAACCGAATCATTTTTCTTATACACCAATTTGGAATCTAAGTTTCCTTACAGATATTCAAATTACAAGTAAATATTAAAAACAAGGAGGAAAGTTACAAAACCTGGGTTAATACAAATTAAAATCCTGGCGGCTTTGCCACAGACTACAGCTGTACAAAGTGAGCTGATGATGTTCGCTCAACAGCTGGGAAGTAAAGTTACATTGAAATTAACTGCAATTCAGCATAAAAATGTCTATATTTCCCCATTTAACAAAGGGAAAAACAAAAGGTTACACTGGACTACCACACTGAAAGAAAAATAGACCAATAAAATTTAATATAGACCAAATACGATTTAATATGATTTGCCGATTAGCAGCTACCAGTATATATGTGATCAGTAAATCATGCCCATAAGGCAGGTCGTAAAGCATGTGATAAGAAGTATTTACGTAATCAGCGAGATTTTTTATATGAAGAGATCAGAATCAATAAAAAGTGAACGCAGTGCCGATAATTAAGAGAAACAGGGAAGAAAATATATCAGGCGCCTCAGACATAAAGATGCATTTCATATTTTGCCCGTACTTGTCCATCAATTCATGTTCTGCAAAAGTAAAGACAAATCATGAAAGTACATATGCAAGTTTACATTTAACGAAGCTGCAACAAATATTTCTGAGAAATAGACAATAAATTTTACCTGATTTTTATCTCTCCTACTGGCTGGCTGAAATGGGTTTTTTTCAAGAACCGGCACATAGGTGTCACAACGGGATGAAATCAGGCACTCGTCAATTTTTGGGCATGTGGAGTTGTTGGTATCATCTTAAAGCCTGTTCATTTGTCTTGCTTTCAATTTAAAAAGTACCCAGGTACCCTGGTTTCAGAGGTAAAACAAGCGAGAAAATGGCCACCAAAGTTTGGTGGCTTCCAAAGCTTGAGAGTCATTGGAAATTGCAAATTTACAGTTTTTTTGTGCCTTTCATTATCATTTTTTCGGAAAAATCCACGTAGAAATGTGGTTTTAATTGGGACATAAAAGGTGCTGAGCCAAAAAAACAAAAATTCTGTAAAAATTGCCAAACAGGTGGAAAAATTAAATGCCAGTTCCTTTGAATCCATTATTTTGACGAGAGCCTGATTTCACCATGATGCCTCACATATTAAATTTAGTCAATGTTGATCTTGATCTCCTCAGAATAACATGGGGGGGGGGGGGATTAAAAACTGTCTTATGACTTGAAGATCCACCAGACCTTCCCACTGAGACAGTAAAGCAGGCGTGTGACATCAGAACACTGGCACACCGTCCATCATCTGGATCTTGCCCTGCGCCCCGGCCTTCCTGCAGGTCACCGTCACAGACTGTGAAGAAAGAGAAATTGAGGAAAAACATCAGGCAACTAGCTATTAGATTACAAGCCTGCCTAATGCCTAAATATTGGCCCAATTCATGGCAGAGTGACCCAAAACTCCACTGGACCCTGGAGGACCAACACCAAACAGCAGCCTTCACACTAGGGACTGGAATATCCATTTAAAGATGAACGAGACGAAGAAGAAGAAAAGGAAAAACATTTATTTTTCATATAATAGAACCTGCTCTAATGATCACCTGTCCAAGACAATCACTGGTGCCAAAACCATTTCCTACTCTCCCCCCCTTGGATTTTCTTAAACATTACATGACACTGCTCAAGAGGACCACCAGCCGAAGATGAGCACTTTTCTCCTCAACAGTCGGTGGTCATCTTGGACAAGTTAAACTGTATATATGGAAGTTTAACCGTCGTCTTACAACCAAACACAGTCCTTTGATAAGACACTAAGCTAAGAGGAAACATTCCAGGAAGGAGGAGAAAGAAATGTTCAGATCACAGTTGGATTTGATCACCAAACTTCTGCACACTGGCCACGCATAGAACCTGTACTATATCATAGCTACCTGGTTTTAAAAATGACTCTAGAAGCAGAGACAAAAGAAAAAAGACCCAATAAACTTCAAACGTGTGCACGTAGAGACAGTAGCTTCTTGGAAACTCTGAAAAGTATGTCTTTGCAGAATCCAATAATTCGTTGCACTTGTGTATATTTTGCCGGGATCGATAACAACAATAACAGAGCTGGATTGTGTATATTTTGCACAGTCATACTTTACTAGCGGGTATCTACTTTACCATTGATTGATGATAAAATGCTCAACTTGAATAAATTAAATGGAAATTACAGTAACATCAACACCCTTGCTCAAAGGTACCAGGAAACCATTCTGTTCATTACAAAACAAATTAAACAAAGACGAGTTAACAATGACTGTTCTCACGATTTGTCAAAGCAATTTCCCAAAGTCAAATGATGATAAATACTGATTGACCGACTCACTCACATCATACACACTCTTGATACCCACATAAAAAGGAGGTTACAGGACCAGGCAAGGGCAACAGAGTTCCACCAAGCAACCAGAACAAATGTAATAAATATAAACTAATCCAACCTCTCTTCTCCCCCACTCCCTCCATACACACACACTCACACTTTTAAAATATATTTTTCCCTTAAATTCTCCAAAAAAATGTGGAAACTGCAAAGCACAACAAATATAGCTACCTTTTTGCCCATCTGCTGCTGGAACAGGAAGCTGGGGTATCTGGCAAACGCATGGGCACGGAAAGCCTCACGAAATTCTTGTGTCACCTTGTGCTGCTGCTGTTTGTTCCTAAGGCGATCTGAATTCCTCTGAAAGCAGATACAAAAAAAAAAAGAAATTCTGAAGCCCATAGCAATACTATCAACAGTAGAAAAACATCCTGTTCCAACTCCAAAATTGTTGGTGAATATTTTGTACATGAAGCAAGGTTTGGTTAAAGGCCCCCATAAGATACAATAATAGTATGTGTATATAAGGAATGACATCATTTGTTAACAAAAACAAGATATAGACCTACATTAGTTCAAAGAAAAAACTAGACTTCCATAGCTGTATGTAAAGCTACAAAAGAGCAAATTCAATAACAAAGAAAATTAATATTCACAAAAACACACCATCATTCCCGCGTGCACTTTTTGTAAAGTCTAGAAATTAATACGCAGCCACCCACTAAAGCTAAAATCTTTCAAGGAATAATTTTTCAGTGATTGTGTCTAACATGAAAGGTCGCTTCATTTATCTATAAAGGACACTAAGGGCAAAAGTTTACAGCATTTACAACTCAGTTCTTCAGCAAGGCAGTCCTAGATCTAGTTAGCAACACCATGACAATGATAAAGGTCAGGAAAACCAAGACATGAACTAAAATAATGAAAGAAGAAATTCATATGGCATAAGATTAATAGACTTTTGCTTTGGCAGCATACATTTCAGGTATTTTATTAAATAAAAATAATCAATTTGTTTTCAAGAGATTGTGTCTAAGTCTAAGTCTTTTAACTCTTTATATCTGGAGGAGGTTTCCCACTATGCCAGAGCCATCTTCTGGTACGAAACCTGAGACTGACATAAACATAATAACTAAATTGGTCAATAAATTTTTTTAAATGGACCTAGTTTGATAGTTCTTCATCTAATGAAAGAACTCCCTGTATACTGTTGCCAGTTGTTGTTGTTGTTATCTATCCAACAATCGCTGCATTCTCGCCCTTCTGTTCAATGCCAAGTCGTGATAAGTGCAGGTTTGCTGCAGTTGCTGTAATGTTCCACAGAGTGTGATTATCATCAGCAGATATAACAGATTTCCGGAAGTACCATAAAGTTAAAAGAAGTTTCCTGATTTCCTGAAAAAGGACAATAAAGTTGATCTTTTCTTTATCTCATCCGAGCAAACTCCCTCACCAGATCTGCCAGTTTGAGCCAACCATTGTATCCACCTTCTGTGTTGAGTGTGTCTAGGTCGATGATGATCTGACCCAGCATGTTGTGCTCTGTATGAGCAGTGTTGTCCAGCACATGCAGGAGCACATACCTGTAAAAAAAATACAACACACACATCATGATTAGATGAGAATCTGTTGAGACAAGGCTACAAAAACATACAATTACTGCTTCCCCCTCCACGTCCCCCTTGCCTTAGCGCATTTATTCTCATATGTTCATTTGCACACCACTCGTGATTCTGTCATAAAGATCTGAGAGCATCACTTGCACGTAAAATCATTTCGAATAAAATTCTCTATTTGATATCCATCTCTGATCAGACCAAACTTAGGCGGCATAAAAATTCCTCAAACAACCAAAGTCCCTGAAAGTATACATAGAGATTAGTCATCATCAGTTTAGTCCAGGTGATACTTCTTTCCATCCAGCTCACACTTGTCTTCTTCAAGTTTAAATGAGATAAAAAGAATATGTCAAAGCAGACCAAGGGAAGTAACAAAAATAATTTTCCAACTGTTGCATATATTTAGGAAACAACTTTCAAAAAGTTCAAACTTACCTAAACTCAAGTTCCTCTTCCGGGATCTCAAACTCAAAAGTTTCTTGCCAATCAGGGTTCCCATCATCAGCTACCACCACCTGCTCAGGAAAAAATAATTAAGTTTAAAAATCACAATTTGCCTGATAGACTCCCAAGTGCTATCAAACATCAACTCAATATGTGGGTATTTCTTCCCAAGAAACTAGAGTCTTTCTGATTTTATTTCATTAATAATTGTTTGTTTATTGTCTTGTTGTTTGTTGTTTTTTGGGGGAGGAAGGCATTTTGTGAAATAGTCCTTTATTACCATAGATTATGGGGTTAACCAAAAAAGTAGGGCATTTGGGTCCCATGATGAGACATTTGGCTTGGAACAAATTTTTCAGAAGAACAATAATTGGACACCTGTGGATTCTTTACTTTGCTTTTCCAATCCAGTGGCCATCTGAGTCCTAACCCTCCGGCCTGACATTTGGATTAAAATCTACAACTTCTAGAAGTGTGGGACCTAAGGTAGTGTTCAAGATTCTTTCAATTTGTAGTCACATTTAAATCCTTTGTTAAAACAAATGATGAATAAATGGTAAGGTGCCTTTTGAATTTTTAATTAGACCATACTATGAGGTAAAAGTATTATTACGTTTATGAAAAAAAAAACAATTGAACAGGTCAAACACAAACATGAGATCAAAGTTCATGTTCACAAGACTATGTCCGACAATCATTTACTGTACAAAAAAGTCTGGCTTTCTGATCTGATCCAATCATGCAGACATGACCAATCTAAGAAATGTGCTCATCATTTCTACCGTCATTTTTAGAAATGCAGTATGCAGTTTTTACAATCTTACAGAAAAGCCAAAATACTGAACTAAGATAACAAACTCTTTGCAAACATCCCAAATCAATATTATTAAGGATTCAATTTTGATAATAAATTCTTTATTATCCTTAAAGAAAATGCTGTTTTCTTGGTAACAATATTCAATTTTTTGGCTCTTCTGTAAAATTATAAAAAACTGTATATATGTACTGTATTATTAAAAATGATGCCAGACTTAGGACAAAAAAACCTGCCTGAGTTTTGTGAACAGATCCAGAGCCAGGGACAGTGCACTTGACCATAGCATGCACTGGTTTACCGTCCTGTCGTCTGGACAGCCCATAGGCTCCGTGAACGGTCAGAAAGAGGCTCTGTGGCTTCAGGAAGTTTAGGCTAATCTCAAGATCCCCTGTGATGCTGAGGTCAGTCTGGAAAACACATTGGCCACATCCCAGTTTACTCCAAAACACAGCTTTGTTTGTTTGTTTGTGTTTGTTTGTTTGAGTAAAGATAAGCACATTGACACAATAATGGTCATTTTGTATAGGGAAAAGGTAAGACAGACAGACAGACTGACAGACAGAAACAACAGATGGAAAGAAAAGAAGTAGGTACTGCCAGTGGTGCCCTCCAACCACCCATACAAAACACAGCAAAAACAAGAAAATGACGACACAGGCGACAGCACGTCATATACGAAGTGTAACAAATTTTTTTAAATGTGATGCACTCTGAGTATCCGAACATCCGCAGCTAAAACCAAGGTTGTTTTGAGGGTACCCTTGAAAGTCGGTATTTCATCGGGCCAACGGAAGAACTGAGTAGGACGGCTCAGTATATGATAGATACAGGAAATCAAGTGTGATGCGATCGAGAAGAAGAAGAAGGTATTTCATCAACTAATTTTGTTTAAAATGTTGCCTTATTTTTTTCCTAGCATTAAATGACTTTCATCCTACCAGCTGTTTCTCTGAAACTAAAGGCAAATGAAATATCTTCTTGATGTCACAAAAGAACAGAGAGATTAACACATTCACTCCTTTACAAGTCCATGATATATATTGTGATCACATAGCAAACTTCCCCTTAAAACCTTCATAAACACATAAATTTAACTGGATCCACTTTAAATTTTCTAAGCTTACAGAGGCACCCAAAAAAAATATGATCTTAAACATTTCTGGCTCTATCCTACCAGTAATAACAAAAGACAGAAAACAACAAAAAAGAAGACAATTTGATTTTGGGGTCCACAGGATAACAATAGAGAACCTTTTAAGGATAACAGTACCAACTTGATACAGTGGAGTCTACTTATAACGAGTCCTGAAATAACGAGAAGTCTGTTATAAAGACACTATTCTAAAACCCCGTTTTTTTCTTTCTTTATCTTTGTAAATAAAATACTGCTATAGCACAATCAGAGAAGCACGCGAGTCGGTCAAAGCGGAATATTGCTGCTGCTGTGCACAGTGCATATGTATGTAAAACCTCGCCAGTTGAGAAACATGTTGATGACCTAGCGAAACAAAGAATGGGAGAGCCTGCAAAAGAGTGGGGAGTGTGTGGCATGCACAGACAAGCAGAACTAATAACGTGGCCAGCCCATTCTCCTAGGCCTACCATGCCTCTCATTTCTCCAATGATGGATGAAGCGAATGTGTGGCGTGGGCAGGGTGTGGTGTGTACCCAATGAGCGCAAGCAGACTGTAACAAGATAGCTGGTTCTTACCTATACGCACGTCAGGTCACAGATATTCTTCTTCAGCTATAGATCCTCTTTTACGAATTTTTACAGTCCACACACACACTAACCACCGGCCGGTGTCCAACCAGACTAACTACAACCGTCTCACGCTAGCAACACAGTTCACTCACACGCAATTCCGCTTCTCGACGGGAGTGCGTTCTCGCTCACTTTTGCTGCACACCACACACATGACAACGTAACACGCACGTTTCCGACTCGTCCAAAAACAACCTACACAGACAGAACACACCATAGGGTGCAGTGTGGGGGGACAACACAGCAGGCGACTTAGCCTAGAGCCCTTTCTGTCTGATCGCCAACACCGAGCTGTCAACATCGCTAGCACTAGAGAAAGCAACCTGATTCGATTTTTGATCAAGTATACATAAAATACCTAGAGGTCATGTTGAACAAAATCATCATCAGGGGAGATAACAAAAAGAAATAATATAACACCAAACTCATAGATTAAGCCTACTTTATTATGTCCCTAGATTTTATTACTGGATCCCTTAAAATGAGAATCCTGGTGTAACTGACATTTCGCACCGGTCCCCTCCCTCTCGTTATAACTGGATTCCACTGCAGCGAACTAAACAATAATAGTGCCAACTTAACAGTAAACATGTAAGCCAGTTATCCAAACAGCAACATTCATTCTTTCCACCAATAAATTTGGTTCAATACAGTGAACAAGTCCACTTCTCAGATTAAACTTCGCCATACAGCACTTTTCAAAACAGCGTATGTCAGAGTCTTACACCAAGTAGTCAATGTACTTACTGCTAACTTATCAGATATAATCTTTTCTATACAAACAGAGATAAGGGACACCAAACAAATAAAAACACAATGCAGAAATCTGTTACCTCCATGCAAAGGGTGTACCAGGCAGTCAGGACGGGCTCCGTCTGGAAGTTGAACTGAGAAAGTTCTACGACAACTTCCCCGAGAAAGTCATCTCTGGTCACACAGTCATAGTCAAATACCTGAAGGTGTGAAGGAAAGAAAATACAGTTAAAATTGGTAAAGACAATCGACCACTGTCACGGAGAAAAGTGTTCGTCTTAGAAAGGTGGTTGTCTTACTCAGTGTCATCAAAATTTATTTTTTTAAAACACAAGGCGGGAAACGGGAAGAGGCTGTTTGTACAGGTGATTGTCTGATACAAGTGGGCGTCACAGCAAGTTTGATTATATTAGAGGAAAGTTTATTTTTTAAAACCAACAAACATAAAATAAGATAACCCACTGTCACTTTTTATGAACTTTCTTGATGTTGAAAAAAATAAACACCTTAATCAAGAAATAATCATTAAAACACTGACCAAAAAAAATAAAGCTGACATATAAAATTATATAACATTCAAACAAACAAAATAGTTAAATTTATATATTTGTGTCATACCACAAATTCTACCCCAAAAAAAGTATTTCTGATTTGGTAAAACAATGAGCATCATGGCTAATAAACAATAGCAAGCACAGGACAAAATTAACTATAAAAATATTCCCATATAAATCAGTCAGAAACCATCAACAATACAATATTGTACCTGAACCACTAATTTCGTGTCTGCAAGTTCCTTTGGTCTAATCTTGAAAGCAAAAATCTCGTTATAGACCGGATTTCTTGACTCGACAACAATCTGAGTGACCTTGGCCCCATGGGAATGTAAGTCAGGGTACAGTTGCAGCTGAAACACAACATCAACAATAGATTTAAATATCAGAAGGATAAGTCAGTCAAAGTGTCATTTCAAGGGGAAAAATGCACATCACAGTTGTAAAGGGTATAGAGCATGCTGTTGAGTGTGGATAAACCCTGCATAAATGCAATTACAATTTATTATTATCTTATTTTTATATCCAAAGCACACAAATTGAGAAAATCGGATACTCAGACTGGTTGATAGGCAAAAAAATAAAAGAAAGCATCTTTTTCACTGTGAGTAAAATTTCATTAAAATCATGCATGAAAATATGAATAGTGAACATAATTTAGAAAGAACAAAATCTATTTTTAAAAATTGATAAAGATTATCTGAGAAAATTTGCATCTTGATAAAAGGCTAAAAAGAAAAGGTTTTTTTAAAACTACGAGACAAAATATGACTTATCAAGTCCAGAGAGATAATGAGCACAATATTCCTCTCACTCTGACATATGGATCCGATGCTTTCCTTCGCACATCCTTGGCATGTAAGTCTCTGCATTTAATGACTTTCACCAACAAAAGTTGTCTTTTCTCATCAAACTTGAATGACAGTTCAATCTCTCCATTCACATCAGTTGGACTTTTGACAACAGTGGGGTCCAGCTTTTTGAACAAGCTTTTCAAACTCTGAAGACTTTGCTGTAAATGCATGAAAAAAAAATAATAAATTCTGAGCATCAGCTTTTCAAAGTATAAAAAGTGTGTCATATAAAGACTATTAAAATGAACTCTAAAAAAGTTTCTTAACAAACCTATTTATGAATTCATCAATGTTCCATTTTCATTATAATCCCCCAGTCTTTGCAGACCTCACAGCAATGAATTGCATCTCATCCATGTTTTCTTTGTGTCCAAGAAAAAGATACAGTCTGGGAATTGAAAATCTGTTCTCTGTTTCTTTTTCGGTGTGTGCGTGTTTGCTGTGTGCATTTTAGACTCTATATATTTCAAAATTATACATTGACAGGTTTCCATTTAATCATATATATATATATATATATATATATATATATATATATATATATATATATATATATATCATAATGCCAAATTTCTCAAACTGTCCATCAAATGAAAACATGCTAATAAGGGTATTTTAGCAATGAAAAATAGAATTGTTAAATATAATCACCTTGTCTTGTTCCAATCTGTCCCAGCCATCTTGGATTTCCAACTGTCTTTGCCTCTCTGCTCTCACATCTAGAGCTTTAGCAATAAGTTCAATCTTATTCGGGTCTTGACGGATAGCGTTAGGTCCTGGTGGAAGTTTGGAATCTGTGGTACCCATGACTGACAGGTCTTTTCACTTGCACACTCCAATAATATCTGTGGTAGGGCAAAGAAATAAAAATAAAATAAATGAAAAAGAGAAAATAATGAATAAATATCATGTGCAGTAAATCAAAGTTCGCCATCTTTTTCAGAAAACCCGTAATCAGGGTTGGTGATTTTTTTTTTTTAATAAAAATTTCAAAAATCGATTTTTTAAATTTAAATAGGATTTTTTATTTTTTAATGTCGACCCAGTTTGGGATTTTTAGTGGTTAAAAGTATGTTCTTTTAGTGCAAAATGCATAGTCTTTATTTATTTTGACTAAAGATTAATCTAAGCAACTGCAAAAGAAAGCCTTAATCTCTAATATCAGTGAATTATTCATGGCTACCGACAAAAAATGAAGAAAGTGTCAGTCTAAAAGAAAGGGGGGGGGGGGGTAATTATGCATATATAAACTTGCATTTTATTAGGCTCTCGGACTCGCAACCGTAAGGTCGTGGGTTCGAATCCCGTCGAGGGCCCGACGTTATGTCCTTGGGAAAGACACTTTACACTAATTTTCCTCACTTCACCCAGGTGGGAATGGGTACCCGGCTATAGACAGCGAAAGATCTTGTCAGTTTGTTAGTGTTTGAGCGCTTAATCGGCTGCTTGCACTGTATGCTTCCCGGGAAGCTGAGAATGTTTCGGAGTGTTCTATGGTCTGCTGGGGTAATAATATAGGGTAAAGCACATAGAGCCTGCTGTTGAGCGGGGATATGCGCTATACAAATGCTATCTAATATCTATTATTATTATTATTATTACAGAGTGTGTGTGTGTGTGTGTGTGTGTGCGCGCGCTTGTGCTTGTCTAAAAAGAAAAAGAAAATGCTAATTTCAATATAATTAAGAAAAGAAAGTAAATTGAATACTGTGTTATGTTTCTTTTCAAAACCTTCAAACCCAAACAACTCAATGGGTAATTTCAACATGATCTAAATTTTTGGTTATTGTAATACTGTTAATATTGTATGAAAGTGATTTACTTTCAAAGTTCCTTCAGTTGCCATTTTGTTCCTTGTAATAATATCTGAATTATTATTTTTGTTACATTGTGATTTATTTGTTAATGTTTTTATTCTCCTCAGTCACAATTGATTTAATCTGACATTCAATAAATTATTAAGTTTACAGTTAATAAATCTAGACATTTCCTTAGTCTGTGTATGTGTATGTGTGTGTGTGTGTGTGTGTGTGTGTGTGTGTGTGTGTGTGTGTGTGTGTGTGCGTGTGCGTGCGAGCGTGTGTGTGCGCGTGCGCGCTTGTGTTTGTCTTTAAAAAATGTTTAATTCTAATTTCAATTATGAAAAAAAAGTAAATTGAATTTATTGAATACTGTTTATTTTACATTAATGGGCATCTCGACTCTGCTGATAATCCAATTTTAGTCCCACATGCAAGCAGCAATAACATACCTGAGACTCACAGGGAAGATTTAAAGCAAGGCCACCAATATTCTTACCCCTAGTAAGAATAGCTCATGATCCTTTATTCTCACCCCCATCCCGGTCTGGGCTTGAGGCAAGGACTCCCTCCCTGACCTCTCGCAGGCCGATAAAAATTACCTAGGCTCTAGATGGCTTACTGCATGTGGCTGGGAAATGACTCATGAGTGCTTGGCGTTTGTTTTCTCAGGTAGACCAACTACTGATTAGACCCTACCGTTGCCATAGCCTTAATCTTTTTGTAAGAAAATGAAAAAGCTGTAGTATCAACTAAACTTAACTTTGTTTATTTCATTGAAATTCGACTTAGCCATCATTTTAAGAGCCGATCTGACACTTCTGTTCCTGAACTTGACTTGATCAACTTGATGATGATAAGCCATCATAGTTCTATCATTAGGTAGGCTACTTAGTTGTGCACAGTATCACATCACGGTTAATTTAAACTTTAGTTAACACATTCCATTCAGATATCGAGGCTGTTTTTTATATGTGCTTTAAAAAAAGAAGGCCTCTTTGAACATTAGCAGACCATCACTAGATCTACTCCGGTAGAAACTGGGGGGGGGGGTAGACAGGGTTGGGTTGATTTAAATCAGTTGATTTTTTAAATTTAAATCAACTTGATTTTATAAATAAAAATCAGTGATTTAAATCACTTTTTTTAAAAATTATTTTTATTCAGTTTTTACACATTTCAACATTCAGAATTCCTTTCCTTGGTTTCATAAAACAGATAAGGTAAAGTAGACTAATATAATCATGTTTAAAAGTCTGCTTTCCCTCCTTTCACTGTAAAATAATACAGTATTCAATTTACTTTTTTTTCCATAATTGAAATCAGAGCTGGGTTGATTTAAATCAGTTGATTTTTTTATATTTTCATCAACTTGATTTTTAAAATAAAAATCAGTGATTTAAATCACTTTTTTAAAAATGTATTCAGTTTTTACATATTTGAACATTCAGAATTCCTTTCCTTGGTTTTATTAAACAGATATAAGGTTTAGTAGACTAATATAATCATGCTTAAAAGTCTGCTTTCCCCCCTGTCACTGTAAAATAATACAGTATTCAATTGACTTTTTTTTCATAATTGAAATCAGGGTTGGGTTGATTTAAATCAGGTCGATTTAAATCAGTTGATTTTTTAAAATTTAAATCAACTTGATTTAAAAAATAAAACTCAGTGATTTAAATCACTTTTAAAAAATGTATTGTTTTTACATCTTTAAACATTCAGAATTCCTTTCCTTGGTTTTATAAAACAGATATAAGGTTTAGTGGACTAATATAATCATGCTTAAAAGTCTGTAAAATAATACAGTATTCAATTTACTTTTTATTTCATTATTGAAATTAACATTTTCTTTTTCTTTTTAGACAAAGACAAGCGCGTGCACACACACACACACTGTAATAAAATGCAAGTTTATCTTTGCATAATTACCCCCCCCCCCCCCCCCCCTTCCTTTTAGACTGACATTTTCTTCATTTTTTCTCTGTAGCCATAATTCACTGATATATATATATATATATATATATATATATATATATAGATCTATACATAGCAGATTAAGGCTTTCTTTTGCGGTTGCTTAAAATAATCATTAGTTAAAATAACAATGCATTTTGCACTAAAAGAACATACTTTTAGCAACCAAAAATCCCAAACTGTGTCAACATTTTTTTTTAATTAAAAAAAAATTTAAAAATCCGATTTAAATCAAAAGAATCGATTTTTTATTTTTTTTATTAAAAAAAAAAATCACCAACCCTGGGTGTAGATAGGGGGGTTCACAAAATTAAAGTCACAAAAATAATAATATAATAGATAGATTATAATAGTTGATCTAGATAGGCCTAGTTTGCGACAGTTTTTAGTGCCAAAAAAGTATTCTCGGCAGGTGGTCTGTTAATCTTCATTTTTACCAAAAAGAAAACAGAGATACAACACTCCAGGGGTAACATTAGATCTACATTTACTACTTACCACTCGCCCATTACTCTTCCTACACAAACAGAACCGCCATGACAGTTTACCTTAGAATCGGAAATGTATAAAAGTGTTGCAAAAGGTTGAAGAATAAACGAAACAATATATCAAGAGTTCTATAAAATCCACAATTATAACTTTTTCCAATAAAATAATATATTTCAAGTAAAATACAAGTACGTTTATTTAATTTTTTTATGGATGATATAGGCATACGTAAAACAATTTAATTTAACATTGGCTCCAAAGACTGTCTTGATAATGATTGAAGCCAAGAAAGTCTATCAGCAATAATAATTATATTTTATTATAATGATATTTGTTGGGTTTTGTTTGTTTTAGAACGCCTAAATTAGAGAAACAGGAAAAACTTGTACGGTCTGAAATTTAATTAAGAATATCATTTATTAAAGAAGCATGGTGTTTCTTTTTTTGTCAGACAACGATTCCCCTCTCAGTCTCTGTTTCCTTTTTTTTTAGATTGAAAAGTTCAACCAAAAACATTTTAGGTTAGCTGGGCCAAAATAGGTCTGCCAAGTGGCCGAAATCTCCGAAGTAGGTCAGTTGGGGCTTCCACGTCAACGTTTCGGGGCTGGTGTCACGTGACCATCCTTTTACACGATTCCGGCTGTACTGGTTGCAGTACTGTGTTGCTTCGTTATTGAAATAACGAACTGCGGAACGTAAACTTCGGTTTACGACGACCAAGCGTGAAACATGGCGAGTAAGTTGACTTTTCTTTCTTATTTAACCATTATTAGTATCAACTTATTGGTCTTTACTCTGTATTTGTCGAAAATTTCACAGCGGGAGTGCACACCCAGACCACCGGCGGTCCACACCTCCATTTCCTTTTCAGTGGCAGGGGCAACATGTGCCAACTCTGTTCAATATGGTTTCACTGAAGACATGTTTATAACGTGGCATGGTTCAATATAATAGTGTGCCTTCATTTACTGTCAGATTGTCTTCTGATGGTATTTAAGAAATTTTAAAACGTCTTAAGGACATATTACTTCTCAGTGCAAAGGGCCAACGCCAATACTGCCAACTAACAGTCAGAGTAACAAACAGATGGCAAACTTGCCACTCTTCATCTTGTAAATCTCAGCAAGACTGCCCGTTATTTAGGGGGAATACTGAAATTTGGTGACTTCAGAAGAATTATAATGTTCATTTTTCACTGCTGGGTAGTGAAGATGCTCTGATTGTCAAAGCCAAAGCTGTGGCCTTTTGGACTGGGGCGTGGGAGGATCATGCACTGCCTGTTGGTTTGACTGCTCCACACCAAGCGAAGTTGTAATTTTCATTTGTTGAGTCTAAATTCTAAAATATTAAAAAAAGAAAACTAGATATCTAGATCTAGATCTAGATCTAGACTTAATGCTGTTTTTAGACCAATTGAATGTTAAAATAGTTTTTGTAGAAAGATGGTAGAATTAGAATCTCAAGTTGCCACATCATATGGATGATGGATGTTATTGAAAGTGGGTCATGTCAACTCAGTATCCTGTTGTGACATAGATTCTAGATCTAGAATCTAGATCTAGGAAGTGGCCATCCTCAACTGGGGTGAGAATAAAAATACGATCGACCTCTCACCCTGGGTGAGACTTGCCAGGGTTGGCTATTCTCAGCCGGTGTGAAACAAAACCTGTTTTTCCTAATTTCGGAATGAATGGTTGTGTCAATTGCCGAGTGACGCGGTGGCAATTGACAAAAAATGGCTTTTTGTCAATTGCCACCAAGTAAATTGGAGCTCTTTTGCGTTGGTGGGTAGATCTAGCTTATTGTGCTCGATGTTGTGCGTTCGCCTCTCTGTCCCTCTGTGGGTGTGTGTGTGTGTGTCTATTCCTGACCCCTGTCCCCCGATATAACGTGAATTTCTGCTTGAGTTTTTGTGCGTTTGTGACCTTCTACTTCTAGAATTGCCTGTGTTGGTTTTACACCAAAGTGTAGGCTAAGGCTAGCCTAGATCTAGGCCTACGACGTCTCATTGAGTACACGCCAAGTTGGTACCGTAGCTCTAGACTAGATGCTCGTCCAATGAAATTAGTTGAGAACAGATTGACCCATTAGACACACATTATAATGCTAAAGATAGTGTTGTTTCCAGACTTGACACCGCTTCACTCGGTGGCAATTGACAAAAAGTCAATTTTTGTCAATTGCCACCGCGTCACTCGGTGTCAATTGACGCTACCTTTCGGAATACTGTATCGGTATGGGTGATCAAATTGACAAGGGAGTGTATACAGACCCGGTAACCGGGAACAAAGTCACAAAGTATACAGACCCGGTAGGGGAGCTCTTTTGTGATTTCGGAGAGTTTCAGCACCCTCTTGACTCAGGGTAGACCTAGGTTCTTCTAGATATCTATGGCCTAGGTCTAGATCTAGGCAGACAGACATAAATCTTTTGATCTACAGATCTAAATGAAGATTGCGGATGTCTTTTCGATGAACGATCGTTTTTCCTCTGTTTTGGAGTTGGAGGAATCGCAATTTGAAGAAAAGAACAATGTCATAATTTCAATCGAGCAGCCACCCTCTCTATTTCTCTGCCTCTCTCTCTCTCTCTCTCTCTCTCTCTCTCTCTCTCTCTCTCTCTCTCTCTCTCTCTCTCTCTCTCTCTCTCTCTCTCCTCTGTGTATCGCTCACCTTCTCTCTTTCTTTGTTTGTCTCTGTCTTTCTTTTTCCCCACCTATTTCCCACTCTCTTTCTCTCGTTCCCCCCTGCAAACTGGGGCAAGTCATACATTTTGCTAACACCTCTCTCTCTCTCTCTCTCACTCACTCACTCACTCACTCACTCACTCACTCACTCACTCACTCACTCACACACACACACACATTAGACTAGATTTCTACCGGGTCTGGGTGCTGAAACTTTCCGAAATCACAAAAGAGTTCCCCTACCGGGTCTGTATACTTCGTGACTTTGTTCCCGGTTACCGGGTCTGTATACACTTCGAATTGACAAAAGCAAAGAAAATATGACGTTATAGCCCAAAAGTAAGCTAATTTGATCGTATACAAAGATGCTATGGCTATTTCACTTTTCGAATCGAGCCGAACTACGCGGGTCGCCATTTTGTTTTGCCCAGAAGTTCTCGTGCTACTCCTCTCTCTCTCTCCACTGCCCACAGACAAATTGCATGCTTTTAGGCTAACAGTAGTAGCACAAGAGCGCTGGAACATTTGTTCACGGCACAGAATTCTACAATTGTTATCACAGTGTAGAATTCTGGGTGAATGCTACACTGGTTGGCCTAGGCTATAACGATGAACGCACACCGGGTGAGAATAGCCAAAAGGCTCGCCAGCGCTATTCTCAGAGGTGGCCTGTAACATAACATGTCTAGGTCCACTATCATGGTCTATAATTATTAAAGTATGATGGTCAAGATCTAAGCTGCCTAAACAGAAGAAAAACTTATCTAGTTTCCTGTGATCAAGCCTGATTTTATGAAAAATTATTGAAAGCATTGTTCTTGATGATCTTGTCAGTAATGTCAAAGTACTTTCTTTCCATTTTCTCCTTTGCCTATATTAAAGTTTATAAGTACACTCTAAAACAGCCACTTTTATCCTCAACAATGTGTGTACTTAACTTCAGCGAAAACTGACACACGGTTTGACAGATCTTTATTTGACTTACTTGGAGTATTGTGTCTTGTGGGGCTAGTTTTATAGTTATAGGGTAAGACAAATTGCCTCTGTACAAGCAGCTACTTCCCATTTCCCCCTTGTGTTTTACATTAAGTTAATGACGGTCTAGAGATAGTTTAGACAAGAATTGTACTTTAAGCATGTTATTATTATTTATTATAACATCTGGTAGCTTCTATTTATTTCATCACAAATGTTGTCTTGTATGGCCGGCTCTATTTCTCCGAACCGTTTCCGTTCTCAAAATGTGTTGATAATAAACGAATGGAGAAGCCTGTGTTGGGGGGGGGGGGGGTGGAGGGATTTTTTTTAAACATGGTTTTAGTTTTTGCTGGGTGGCTAGATGCAAAATAGGCTACTGCCAAGGTCCAGAAGTCATCTTTTCTCACAGTACCTTTTGAAGGTATTTTCAAATGAAGTATAGTCCGGGAAAATTGCCCCAACCACAACTGAAGTATCTGAATATTCAGACATTTAAAAATCTCTAGCTCTAGAAATTGAATTCGATGCAAAAAATGCTTCCTCCCAGTCCTCGCAGAATGAAAGGATGAGACCGTTCTGAGAAATAAGGTTCAACTTTATTTTCCCGAGCGTTCGGAGAAATAGTCACTTCGATCTTTTATTTATGTGAACACAAATAAGTAGCAAGGATTGCAGTTTCAAAGTAGGCTATTTGGCAGCTGTACTTACCTCTTCCATAGTTTTATCATTTATAAGATATCAAGCAGTATGTTATATTTCTATTTTCAGTTCGATTCTTGGAATTTGTGAAACCTTTCTGTGTGTTACTACCTGAAATTGCCAAGCCAGACAGGAAGGTAAATTTTGTGTGATTATGGGTGTGTGTGTGTGCAGAACGTACCCAATCTAGATTTAGTATGAGCAATGTTTGTTCGTTTGTTTTACAAATTTTATTTGTATTAAAAGTATGATCTCGGTGGTACTGACATGTTGTTTTCTATAAAGTACCAACGATTTTGGTCTCTTAATATGTTAGAGAAAAATGAGAAGTTGTCATGAAATCGAAGGATAGACTTGAAGTCTTTCAATGAAGAAAATGGCTTTCTTGATAAAGGGTGATTTACTTTGATTTCAAAACTTCAACCTTATGCCCCATCCATATGCAGTTTTGTGACAAGCAAAATTTAGATTTGATGCTTCATGTTGAATATGTTTGTTTCTTCAATTTCTGTAATTTTTTATATTTTATTCTTTCGAACAGATCCAGTTCAGAGAAAAGGTGCTATGGACGGCAATCACTTTGTTCGTGTTCCTGATCTGTTGTCAGGTAAACCTTTGGCTTTTTTCTTTCATTTTGTATTCTTTATATGGATTGTCTTCATGGAATTTATCAAAATTGTCTTTCACATTCAGTGACATTGAATTATATTTTTGTTTATCCTTGGTTTCCTCGTGTATTGATGATTGTGTTTCCTTCCGAACCCTTTCAGTGTGCTGAAGGGTTTCCATGTACAGAAAAGATCAAATGTTCACTCAAGAGAGATTCAAACAAAGCAATAATACCTTTCCTTTTGTTACTAAGCAGCCACACAAATTGTGATTACATCTGCTAACAGGTGTCTGTTGGGTAGTGGTTAGATGCTCCACTGTCACGTGATGCAGGAGTCCTGGGTTCAATTTCAATTACGAGTGTGGAAAATTATTAGTTTGGGGTATCTTGGTCCATGTTAGCCCCTGGCGGGCAGGGTGGGAAGCTGACTGTGGTTAAGATCTAAATTGTGTCAATGTGGGTGTTAAAATAATTTACATCTTCTAAAATGTTTTATACACCATTAGCAAAAATGTCAGTGGACCATTTTGGGAAATCGCTTACATCTGTACAGCAGTAAAGTGGTTACATGGGCTGTCTTAGCGAACATGCCAATTTTAATTCCCATCACTGTATGTATTTATTTTTGTGGCTCTGTTTGCCTCTATTGTAACCAGAATTTGTGCACTCTTTCTGTCTACAGATTCCATTGTTCGGAATCGTGTCATCAGACTCTGCGGATCCTTTCTACTGGATTCGTGTCATCCTTGCTTCCAACAGAGGTGAGCAATTTTTTTTCTCAAAGTGGTGTTCTAGAACTGTAAATGACATATGTTTGTCTTTTTTGTGAATGGGAGAAGCATACTTCTTTTTAAATATGTGTTAGAGAAATATGCGCTTGTGGGAGGGGTGGGGGTAGTAAAAGTTATTAAGCTGGAGAGTTTGGTGCTGTTCCCCTTCATGGGGGCATGAGAAGTCTGCAGTGAGATCAAGTCTTGATTATTTTTCTCTTGAAAATTTACCTTTATATCTGTTTTGCTTACAGACGATTGAACACATCTTGTCTTTTTTGTCAGGTACTCTGATGGAGCTTGGTATCTCTCCCATCGTGACGTCCTCCCTCATCATGCAACTTCTGGCTGGAGCCAAGATCATTGAAGTTGGTGACACCCCCAAAGATCGTGCCCTTTTTAACGGAGCACAAAAATGTAAGCTCGTGTGGTTTGTCATATTTGGGAGTTAATTTTTAAAAATTATTATTTGTTCCTGGTTTGTTTTGAAGTGTACCAACTGATGACTATTATCAAGCATGCGTATAAATGTAAAAAAAGAGCATTTTGTATCTGTGGTTGCACGTTTTACAGTATTGAATGGTTAGAAATAAATTGTAAGAGATACTTATTCTCAATCGCATCGCGCTTGAAGACACATCTGTCATGTTCTGGGCAGTCCTGCTTAACCCTGTCCGTAAGTCATGTTTTACTATCGAATCCTTCCGATGTTTGGGAACTCTGTGCCACCACTTTCCAAAGAGGAAATTTACTTGTTAATCCGATCAGCACACCATGCATAGCTGCCTGTCAAAATGATTTTTTAATAAATACTGAAGGTTTTAAGAGATCTTCGTACTAGAAGTATTCTAAAATGTGAAGAATACAACCCAGGGGGGTAAAAAATGACCCCAGGGTGTACGGATGGGTTAATCTATAAGGGATAGAAAAATATTCCTGTCAGGATGGTGGTATAGCTGTATCTGGTACTGCAAAAATGATAGTCTCAGCGGCTAAATTTATTTCTTTTTATAACCTGTACTTTCTTTTCTTTGAATCCCACAGTGTTTGGTATGGTGATCACTGTAAGTCAGGCTGTCGTTTATGTCATGACGGGCATGTACGGAGATCCCGCTGACATTGGTGCTGGCGTCTGCCTGCTTATCATCATTCAGGTATGCTGTGCTAACGTCTTTTTCACTCTGCTTGTTACAGAAGACAGCTTTACAGCTTTTAGTTACAACTGCAGACTCTCTTCAGTCATAGTCACGAAAATTTAACGGTTTTGACTAAATGTTTATATAAAGATGATATTGGTGTTGTTCGGGCATTTACCAGTCTTTCTCAAAACGGAAGTTTGTACTTGTTCTGGCTTAACATTTGCCCAAATCTTCTTCTTTTTTCCCCATTCAGTGTGTTTCTGAATTTTGGACTGTTAAGAGGATGGAAAGCACTCGGTTTAGAAAAATGACTTGTTTTACAGTATGAGCCAACAGATCACAATTGTAATAAATTAACTCGGGGGGGGGGTGTCTGTTATGTCATTTTATATATCTATGTTTTAAGGACAGTGTATATATCATAGCTGCCACTTTCCCCGCTAAATAGCGGAAACTCCGCTTCATCTAGCTCGTCCCGCTACTTTCCTACTTCCTCCGCTGGACCGCTCTCGGTTGCAAATTTCTATACTTTTTTTTTTTGGCTGCGGAAAACACCGAACCGGGAGAGAGACGAAACCGCCGCTTGCGCATGTCCGCCTTTAGCTTTCTACCTCCGTTCTTCTAGGCCCAGTGCAAGTTTCACATTGCCTATTGTTGTGGAGCAACACAGTGTCGGTCGGGCATCGGGACATTGGCGCGCCGAGTTGTCTTTGAAAACGGCGGAAATTCGAGAGAAATTGATGCAGAATGCAAAAATAAAAGGAGCTGGACTGAGAAAGAAGCAGCTGGTGTGCGACTTGAAAAGTTCATTAGAAAATTGAACTAGCCGCTTGCTGCACTTTGCGTTTGGTGCGAAAGAAGTCGCGGCACTCCTGTACAATTGCGGTCCCGTTTGTTTACATGACAGCTATTGTGGCTGTGGAAGTGAATCTAGATCTAGATCTAGATAATCTATCTCTAGATATAATCTAGATCTACTCATATTTAGATATCTAGATTTTAGGTCTAGATTAGATAGCCAAGGCTATAATTTTAATTCAGTTTAGATCTCTAAATAAGAAACACACTACAGGGGCACTAAGTGCGAACGGGACCGCAATTGTACAGGAGTGCTTGCCTCCTTGATCCGATACTGCTCTACATCGATACTGCTCTACATCGATGTACAATTTTAAAGTGAAAGAAATCTTTTTATGAGACACCAGCTGGCAAAAAAACACTTGATTTTTAGTCAACAGGTCCAAACTGTCAAATTGACTCAAATGCTTGTTAGTCAACTTAGTGGTTTTTTGTTGTTTTTTTTCCTTCAAATACATTTTAATTCAGTCGCCTATGGTTAACAATATGACAGTTTACCCTTCCAAAACCGTACACTAGATTTTCCGGTATATATTGCCTCTGGATCTCACGGGTTTTACTCCGGCCTTCGGAGAGTGCGCGTACGCCTTCGCATGAATTTCCTCCTTTCTTAAAATTCCTGAGTGGCAGCTATGATATATAATACTGTACTGATCAATCCATTATTGCATTCATCTTTCTTGTTCATGCTTAAATGTATGTTTCTTCTGGGTTTTCAGTTGTTTGTTGCCGGAATCGTGGTGCTGCTTTTGGATGAGCTGCTCCAGAAAGGATATGGCCTTGGCTCTGGAATCTCTCTTTTCATTGCCACCAACATTTGCGAAACCATTGTGTGGAAAGCATTCAGCCCGGCTACCGTCAACACTGGCCGTGGTGAGTAGGCGTTTCATACTTCATCACAAAGTTCTGAAGGGCTATTTATATACAACCCGATTCCTTTCTTATTGTTACTTATTGCTTTGACTGGAGTATTAGATTTATTTCTAGCGGTTTCTGTTGTGTTGTGCCTTTTCTTCTGTAATATTTCCTATGCTGCAATTCACAAACTGTCTTGCCATCAAATGGCTGTTTTAGATTGTAGAAACACAAGTGGCATATGTTTCTTTCATGCGTCTTGTTTGTGGTTGAAAAGTTATGGTGTGACAAACATCCACATATGCTTTGAATGGGAATATTTTTAAATGTTTACCATGCTGTTATGCAGACTTGTGTACATAATAGATTTGATTTTAATGTCGTATGGACGTTATCTTCGGAACAAATAAGTGTCCTGTAACTTGAATGACTCTCATGTTAACACACACACAAACAAAATGGTGAAAAGTTAACAAGAATTCTATTTGTGTCCGTGTTTAAGGTACCGAGTTTGAAGGAGCTGTGATAGCCCTGTTCCACCTTCTGGCTACAAGACAAGACAAAGTTCGCGGTCTCAGGGAAGCTTTCTACAGACAGAACCTGCCCAACTTGATGAACCTTTTGGCCACTATCCTCGTTTTCGGAATTGTCATATACTTCCAGGTAATGCGTCTTCGTAACTGCTTTGACTTCTTTGTGACAGAGCAGGAATTGAGTTTTGGAAGTGGGTGGTTGGCGGGTGCTCTGGTGTGGTTTGCTCCTTCTTTCCTAACAAACATCTATCGTCCTTATCTCTCCTCCTCCTTTTTTATGTATGTTACTCTTTGTAACACCTCTAATCTTCGGCACTTATATGACCTAATTGTGTTGCAAGTGTCGTAATACTTTTACTAAAACTGAGTTTTGGAAAAAGTTATACCTGCTTACATATTTCAGTCTATCTGTCTGACCCCTCTGAAACAATGTTATAGTGGTCTATGTGTGTCTTTGTATGAACTGTTGGGGGGGGAGGGGGGGTATTTATTTTTTTAGAGATTCTTATTTGTGATAGGTTTGTGAAAGCTCTATTGTTTCTGGTTTATGGTTTCTTTGAGAAATAAAGTTATGGTGTACTGGTGATTGGTTTTGAAGGGTTTTTAGCGTTAGGTGCAAAATTGATTCATAAATATTTACTCTTTGGATTTTCTGAAGTTGTGTGACTACATTTACCCATTCGTATTTTTCAGGGTTTCCGAGTGGATCTGCCAATCAAGTCGGCCCGCTACCGTGGTCAGCAGACATCTTACCCCATCAAGCTGTTTTACACCTCCAACATCCCTATCATTTTGCAGAGTGCACTTGTCTCAAATCTTTATATGATTTCTCAGGTATGTCAGCTCAAATGTTCATATAGTAACGTTCTTATTTTGACTTCAACCTACATGAGAGAGCTTAAAATAAATCAGCTCTGGTTGCCCGTTTATGCAGGGGGTTTTTCCTTGGGGGTGGGGGAGGGGGTGTTGTGGTAAACTGTTTGCAATATTGGATTGCTTGTTTCACTCGGTAAAAGTAAAAAAGCTGTTCAAATCCAAGGGTTTTGTATTTTCATTTTGACCTTACAGCTTTTCATAATTTGTTTTGCTTTTAATCTTTTTTTTCATTTAGGAGTGAGAGTTGTGTATGATGCAGAATTTTTTTGTTCCCCATCACATTTAACAAAGCAAATATGTTCATTTTACAGATGTTGGCCAACAAGTTTAGTGGAAACTTCTTTGTCAACCTTCTCGGAGTGTGGGCTGTAAGTAATTCATTTTATTTTCATACATGCTTCTTTTCCATCATAAGAAATCCTTCTTGAACAGAGTTTACCCAGGCTAGCGCAGTGTGATGTATTTGTTCAAAGTACTTTATTAAGGGATAGTTTTTCTGAATTGTTCTCTGCTATTTTGACATATTTTAAAGATTTTTATGGATAATAAATGCTTTCCCATTTCCGTGTTTTAAATTTCAGATAAACGAATGAAAAATGTGTGATATGGTTACTAGTCATTATTATGAGGCTTTTAGTTAGCTTGAAATGTCAGAACTCTAGTGGTGGTTGGTGGGTGCTCTGGTGTGGTTTGCCCCTTCTTTTTGTCAAACATCTATTGTCCTTATCTCCCCTCCTTCTTTTTTATGTTTGTTACTCTCTTGTAACACCTCTAATCTTCTGGCACTCATATGATCTTATGCAGTTGCGAGTGCCGTAAAACACGTACTAAAACTAAACTCAGAACTCTACACGTGTACCTTGTCTATCCAGCCTCAGGTGTGTTTATCATGCTTTTTTAGAAAATGAGTTTGTTCTTTGTCACATTGACATTTGTGCTTATTGTCCTTTGTAGGATGTTGGAGGCGGCGGCCCAGCCAGATCTTACCCCATCGGCGGTCTGTGTTACTACTTCTCTCCCCCTGAGACGTTAGGACACATTCTTGAGGATCCCATCCACGCAATGCTCTACATTGTCTTCATGTTGGGCTCTTGCGCTTTCTTCTCCAAGACCTGGATTGATGTGTCTGGGTCCAGTGCCAAGGATGTAAGTGTCATTCATGTTCTGCAAACACTGAGTTTTCTGAGATACTCCCCATTTTATTCCCCTTGCGGGAGCTTGAGATTCTTGTCTGTGCTTTTTCTCTAATGTGATGGTGTTTTTATAACTTGTTTCGAGTTAATTGTTGAAACTTTTGTATTATTGAAAGATGGGTCTTGTCAGAAGATATAAAGGCTATCTTTGAAACCTCGCTGCTCCCATTTTATGAGAGAAATACTAATGTAGATTACTTGCTGTGTCACCAAAATTTTACATGAGGTGAGTAACTTTTGACCGTGTGTTTAATTTGTGTTGCTTTTCAACTTGACATTACCAGTTTCTTTGTGGTTGGATGGCACCTCTGGAAGGTTGCACTTCTTCTATCTTGAGTGCTCCTCCCACAACAAATGCCTGTTATCATGTTGATGTGCTTATCTATATTGAGGGTGTGTTCATTTTATCTGAGTGCTTATTCCTTGCGTGTCCTGTTGGATTTCATCAGGTTGCGAAGCAGCTCAAAGAGCAGCAGATGGTGATGCGTGGTCACAGAGAGAAGTCCATGATCAAGGAGTTGAACCGATACATCCCAACCGCTGCTGCTTTTGGTGGACTTTGCATTGGAGCGTTGTCAGTGCTGGCTGATTTCTTGGGTATGTATGATTTTCAACCGTTTCAAATGTCCACCCACGTCGTCATTGTAATTCATTGTTTTTTTATTCTGCTTTGAGAAACACTTTTTTTTTCAACTTGTGTAGGCAGTGATAATTTATGTCATGGGTTGTATTTTCCAGAATCTTCAACAAAGCTTCTTTATTCATTTATATTTTCTAGCAATATGAATTATTTTTCAAAATGTTTAAAGTGTCTAAAGTTTCCTTTTCTGGTGGTTGGAGTGGAGGCTCTTCTTTTTTTTTTTTTTTTTAAGATTTTATCAAGGCAATTTACCCCCAGCATTGTCTTTCTGCTGTGACCCAGCCCATCTGTATGGACCTTCTGCAACAATTCGATTATTGTCTATAAGTGTCTAGGGGTTTCCGGATACATCCGATGTTCATAGACATTAAGGGACATCTTGCGGTGTATTTTCATTTTCATTATATCCTTCCTAGGTTTTTTAAGTGCAAAATATCAAGTGCCTAAGCCATGGTTCTGAATTGGGCTCTCCTATTGACCTTCATTTTCTCAAAATTTTTTGAAAATGACTTGGGATGTTTATGTACTGACGCTTACAATAACAAAAACCATCCTTGTGCCAATGTGTTTCCCACAAAAATATATTATATTGTCTTTCAAATTTAACTTTGGAAGGAATAAGCTAATACTGAGTGTTTTTAGCAAGTGCATTGTCCTTATTCTTTTTTATTTCATTTGAAAAATTGAAGTGGGTGGGTGGCGGGTGCTCTGGTGTGGTTTGCTCCTTCTGTCCTATCAAATATGTCGTCCTCATCTCTCCTTTTTTGTGTTTGTTTGTTGCTCTCTTGTAACACCTCTAATGATCGGTATGACTTTATTGTGTTGCAAGTGTCATAAAACTTCTACAAAAATTAAAAACTGAAAAATAGTTATGAGAAATTCTCAGAAACTGACCAACTGCATATTTTTGTTTTCTCCAGGCGCCATTGGCAGTGGAACTGGTATCCTCTTGGCTGTGACCATCATCTATCAGTACTTTGAATATTTCGTCAAGGAGCAGACTGAAATGGGCGGAATGAGCACTCTACTCTTCTAAATCTGTCACACTTGTTGCACCTCATAGACGTGTGTGTGGTGTGTGTAAGAGAAAGAGAGACAGATTGAGAAAACGTTTGGATTCTGTGAGAAACTGAGCTGGTAGTTTACCATTTGTGGTGTTAATGCTAACATTATTGTCTGACAGCAGTGTGTATAGTAAGAGTGGGCATTACAGATTAAAGCATGCACAAAGAACTGGATGATATCTTATTGTGAACATGTTTTGCGGTAGTGCTGGTTTTAGTCACAAACAGGCTTGTGGGATTGTCTAGATGGGCTTGGTAAGCTGTCTTAGGAGATTTTACAAGATGACTGAGGATATGACTTGCTTATCATTGAGAAAAACAGTACAAATTGTTGTAGGGTTTTGGGGGTTTTTTGCATGACAATTTAGAGAGTTGTTCCTCATCCATCCAGACTTTTACAGTAAGTGATGACAGTTTCCAGTAGCATGTGGCTGTTGTGTATGAGTGGAGGAATACGTGGTCGTCCGTGCTGGGTTTCGGGTCTTTCGTACTTTGCGTGTTATAATGTCTGTTTATTATCAGTTCACAATATTGTTCTTCTTAATTAACTTTCATTTTGTTTTGAGTTGGACAGTTGCAATTTTCCCTGTAATTCCTAGTGTATCACTGTTGTGACTATTACGCATTTGCTGAGTTTTGACATTTTAGTGGTGTCAATATATGTGCTAAGTTCTTTTTTTTTTTTTTTTTTTTTTTTTTTTTTTTTTTTTTTTTTTTTCTCCTCATCTGCTGGTCCTTTTTTTTTTTCTTTAAATCTCTCTCCTTCCAATGACTACTCTTGTGAGAAAATGATTTGTATGATACGGTGGCTGGTTGAGATTGAGATGCGAGGGTGAAAGTTTGGAAGTTTAAAGTGTGGCTCATGTCCGTGAAAGTCAAAAATTTATGTCATTGAATAAACTATTATAAATTAACGTTAGATCTCCAAATGTTTTCGTCTTTCTTTCTAATGTTGTGTTTAGGTTTTCGGGATGCCTATCTACTGGTCAGTTGTAATGGTTTAATTTTATATGCAGCTTGTTTGTTACTTTACCTGTTTGAGATGAAAGAAATATGTTATTACAAATAGTTAGCTGGTCATTTTAAAGTGAATCCCCACTGTAACCTTCAAAATGAAAGAGGATTTTCGCACCTAAAACTAAAGGATGAGGGACTGCATCTTTCATTTCACTCTATCTGTAGCCTCATCGTGGAAAATTTGCCCAGCTTTTTTTTAAGAGCTATCAATCGGACCCCATGCTCTTTAAAGTGCTATATATATATATATATCAGGGCTTCCAGTCTTCCGCAAATTAGCAGAATTCCGCAAACGGAAAAATTTCCGTGAAAATTCGTGCAAAAAAATTTTTTTTTTTTTTTATTTTAAAAAATGCGAAATAAAAAATTTCCGTTATTACCAATGGTCAACAATAGCCAACCCATACCGGAAGTGCTCTTTTATTTGAAAGTGTAGACAGTGTCTTCTACTTTCACTTTCTAAAGCACAAGAAGCACAGCACCAGCAATGTAAACAAGAGGAAGAAATGACGATTGTGGTTCAATAGATCTTGGGCCTGCCAAAAAAAAAGAAAACTCTAAAGAGAGCTTGATTTTTTTTTACCAGACTTGTTTATTTGTAAGTTTTGTTGTAGATTTAAGTTGAATAAGCTGTCATGTTATTTAGATCTCTAGACTAGATCTAGAATCTAGCTAGATATTAGATCTAGATCAAGTCAAGCTGTTATACTATTATTGTAAGGATTCTACACCTTATGATTATGGTGCAAACCAACACAAGCAGAAAATTATGTAGACCTATGCAAAGTGTTTTATTTTTCACTTATTTTCTGTTAAATTTAGGCTTGAATAGCCAGAAGTGGCATACTTAGGATGCTCCGAAACCAAAAATTTTCAAACATAAAGGGGACGCTGTCCCCCTTCAACCCCCTGCCAGGGCTCCGCCCTGGACCCAAAAATCCTCGAAAAATGACATCAGCTGCTGGAAAAAGCTCTGATATATACATTATTTTACAGAGAGACTCGGTTGTATCCAAAGAGAATAGTGCAAAATCAGAGCTCAAAGATAAGAAACTTGAATTGTCTAAAAATGTCAGTTCTAAACAAGTTTCCATCTCCTGATATGGTTCTCCGGAGCCTTTCGCATATGATGATAGCCAAATGTTCTCTTGTACAACAGCAAAGTTAATGAACTACTGCTCTTTTTCAATCGTGTCTGTGGTGTAACTGTTGGACACTTCGCTGTCGCACTCGAGAGACCAGAGCTCAATTTCCGAGTGGAGAAAATTTTATCAGATATCTTGGTCTTTCTGCGGGGGTGTATCCCTCTCATCTGTGGTTGGCCTAAAAAGGCAGGGTCAGAAGCTTATCTCCGGAATGGTCTAAATTGTGTTGAATGTGTGAAGACACCTACATAGTGCAAAACATTTTTCAGTCATACAGTCGAACCTGCCCTGACGGCCACCTGTACAAACGGCCACTTTCCATTTCCCCCCTTGCGTTTTTTCTATTTAATTTAACTGTAAAACGGGCACCTGTCCAACGAGGCCGCGGCCACCATAATTTAACACACAACCCCTATCACACTAAGCAATAACACCTGTCTAAGACGGTCACCTTAGTGACTCCATTACGTTTTGTCATAAATTGTGCATTGGCCCCTGGCGTTGTGGGCGAGCCGTCGTAATTCAATCACCTGTCGTTGTTGTTAGGTAGTCCCTCCAACCGATCATGTTGCGTAGGCCCCTCCCACTGTTGACCAATAGCTACCAATTTTCAGCTGCTGGTGAGGTAAGCGTGTGATCCCTCATAACCCATAAGCCCCGCCCAGAACTCATACACAAATCGTACGTGAGATGAGTGGTCACTGTTTACCCAGTCTGTAACAAAGGACGTAACATGAACTTGTTACAGAAGCGCCACTCGTTCTCCGAGTGGTGGCGACCCATGTGTTTGTTTTAACATGGCACTCAGTCTTCCTTGTCTGATACATTTCGTTTTATTGTCACCCTTGTGCAAAATCAGCGACAAAAGAAAAATTATAAACGAAATACAAACCAACAACAACATCAAAGACAACATAATGGGGCTACTTTCGATTGAGGCCTCAGATGGGAATGATTTGTTTTCTTCATCTTGATCAGTCCTGCCTAAGACGGCCACTTTTCTCCTTGACAATTGGTGGCCGTCTTACACAGGTTTGACTGTATATCCAAGGGGAGAATATCCCACTGGACTTCCGGTAAAGAGTTGTTGGCCCTTGCAAATGACTCGAACTCAAAACCTCTTTTCACATGCCGTAAGGTTGTGCGATTGCCGTGTCATGTTTTGTGTCCATTGTTCAAAAACTTGGAACTAGCGATAACTCATGTTTTGAATTGAAAATTTGTCATTTTGTAGCGCCTTTGTCGGCAAGGACACAAATATTTGGCAAGGAAGATCAGAATGATTGGTAGAAACATTCAACTTCCTACAAGACACATTACTGTAGGTTCTATCCAATCCAGGGCAGAGCCTGAGGTCCCATGTAGGAACATTAAAATTCAGGATACTACTCGAATCCTATTAATATTATTATGTACTCAGTCTACACTTTTCTGTTGGAAAAGTCAGCAGATGCAGGTGGTTGGCAAATGCTCTGGTGTGGTTTACCTCTTATTCTTATTTCCCCAAATATCTACATGTATCACCCTAATCCTCATCTCTCCTCTTTTTCTTTTTGTTACTCTTGTAACACCTCTTATCTTCAGCACTTAAGTTATATGATCTCATTGTGTTGCAAGTGCCATAAAAAAAGAACTCTTACTCAAACATAAAAGTGAATGGATATTAGGGAAGTCACAAGACTTGCCCTCTTTCAACCTGATCAAGCTCTATTTCAGGTACGTCATCTATAACTTCATAAGCCTAACTGACTTTGGTAGGTTCAACAAGTAGGCCTACATTACATTATTAATATTACATGTACATGTACTGAAAGGCAATCAGTTAATGCACTTTTCACAAACCTTCAAAGTTGCTGTTAAATTTATTACGCACAAATGCATGTATCTGTGCACATGAAATTTCTGCAGTCAATCCCTTGATACCAGTCACACGGGTACCAAGTACCATGTGTGAGGTATTCATTACAAACAACAGACTTGAGTTCTTCTGTGTGCAGACTGTTGTCCCCCCGGGGGGACTTGGTATTCTCAGGGTGGCGTCGGTAGTCTTGTGGTTACTGATTACTGATCACATAATCCACGAGGATCGTAGGGGTGCTGTATGTCAGAGAGTCTCGTCAGGTGTCTCCACATTTCACGTTTTTTGTGTTTTTTTGGGGGGCGCTTGTGAGCGCCTTGGTTTGGACAAGAATTTCTCTGTCCGCTCCGCAATGTTACGGTCCACCTCTTCCTTTTGCCTTCCTCTCCTTCTCATCCTCTGCACAGTTCCCTAAAGAATGGTCTTGGGTGGGCCACGCGATCTAAAATCGTACTCCATATATTTCCTTCACTGAACAGTTTGCCGAAAAAGGAGAAAAGGCAAGTCTGTGCGGTATTTCAATGCTGAAGGAAAATAAGCAAGTCTTGTCCTAGAGGGAGTGTAGATCTATTAGTATTAACCTAATACTAATTCTAATAGAAACGTAGTTCGTCCGCCAATGTTTGACGCTGACCTATGCGTACGCAGAGGAGAAAGTTTCTCGAGGTAAATACTGTAAAAGAAATAAAGAGTAAGATGATTTGTGACCTCTGATGATATGCCCAGAAGCCAATTCTGGCAGAGAAAAGTTTGCCACATTTCGAGCATTCAAAATCTTCTCGTCCATCTGTAGGGCCTACAGATGCGGGCTTCTCTTTTTGGTTTCAGCATTTTTCATTCGGGAAGCCTCAGCGATTCAGATGACTTGCTGCCCTCTGTGTCTGCTTGTAGCTTGGCTCTCTCATGTCAAAGGATGTATGTTGAAGTCCTAATAAGTTCAAAGAGACATTTTCAGGTGGCTGGAGGGAGTCGTGGTGGTAATAATAGTAATATTTATTATTTCATTATGATAATCTTGTTTGTTTTATTTTTTGTTTCTTTCAATTTAAAAAAAATTATCCATTAGTGTTAGGTTTCGAACCCTGGGCCTATTGAAAGGGAGGAGAACACCGTAGCCTCTAGATCTAGACCAAGAGAGCCCCCAATTCATTTTTAAAAAGTTAATCGATCGCAATGACAAGCTAAATTAGTGAACTGAATCCGATTTGGATCTCTCTCTCTCTCTCTCTCTCTCTCTCGCTCTCTCTCTCTCTCTCTCTCTCTCTCTCTCTCTCTCTCTCT